AAGGCCCATAACGATCATGTTTATTCTCGACATTTCAATTTCTAAACATAGGTTTTCCTTCGCTAAGGCATAGTCTATTAAAGAACCACCTAAATATTTGTAATTATATGCGGTTCTTTTTTTTCCAACCTCTATCTGCAAAAATGGCCAGAAAGGACTTTCTCCATTCTGACCAATTAGTTAAGCCGATCTTTTTTAAATTTGATTCGTACCAATCTTCCGGTGACCCAGATAAAAAGAAGCGTAATGCTTCTATGAAATTAGTAGGATTTAGTATTTTATGCCTTCTACATTCATTTTCAAATTTCTCTATCCATTCAGTAGGGTTTTGCTTTTTGTTGAATTTTTCCAGAATAAATTTTTTTTCAACGTCTTGCAGCTTATAGTTATCATTCAGACTTAGCTTAGCTTCTAATTCCTTAATTCGTTCATTTAAAAAATTGTCATCTGGTTCATCTCTATGTTTATTATCAATAATTTTTTCTTCTAACATATTATCTAAAAAACATAGACTTTCGTCTTCGTCGTAATATTCTTTTCTCAATTCATCATCGAGTTTGATGCAAATTTTGCGATAACCGTTGATAGGTTTGATAGAATTAATTGTATTTATTATTGCTCGCTTCGTAGATTGAGCTTCGTGCAAACTTAAATCTTTCATCTCTTCAGGTAGGACATACCATGTTTCTTTATTTTCCGATATGCCCGCTAATTCAAATTCGTCATTATTTCTTTTAATAATATGAAAATACAACTTACTGGTTATTGAAGCCATCTTCTTTTTGAAATTTAATTTATAAGTTTGCTTTCGAATAACCTGATTTATTAATCTAAAATAGAAAATCAAAATGAGTGAATAAAGAACATAAATAAAATCAATTGAAACAATATGAATTATTACAGAAATTATAAATGAATAACCAACCTAAAATAGAAAAATTAAATTCCAGGATCGTTTACAAAGCCAACAATAATAAAATATTACCACGTGCTATTTCCATTTATATATAAGATGATACCAAAGTAATGAAACCTAATTAACAAGAACAGAATAGAAATATATAGATAATTATATGAAATATAATTTACAAATACTTTCACATTAGAACTTAAGATGTGAATGCACAAAACAATGGTAAAAAATTGAGCAGGGTAATTAGTGTTAAAGTGAGTGACAACTGAGAGGAAAAGAAGGAAGCCGACAGCACCAGCCATCCAAAGAGGCCACCATTCGAATTATCGACACATGATTTCATCGAGCAACAATGAAAAGACAACAATTGCATTTTTTCCTGGCGGCTCATGTAAAATGAAACTTATCTGAGTCGTTTAAAAAGCTTCAAAAATGACAACAAATATATTAAAAATAAAAATTATTATTTTCTGTTTTAACAGTTTTGCTAAAACTATCAAAAATAAAAATTATGAAATAGACAATAGAATTTTAAATGAGTGAAGATATTAATGGAGATATGAATATTAGATTAGTAAGATGTGAGAGAGGCAGCGCTGAATGATGGGCCTGAAGTGTCGTCATTATGAACTGTTTCCATTCCAGTCATGCTCGCCGGATGAGGTTATTTTCAAAGATGTATGTTTGTTGCCGGCCTGCAGTTGATATTAATTACGTATATGTGTGGTGTGTGTGTGGTGTGTGTGTGGTGTGTGTGTGGTGTGTGTGTGGTGTGTGTGTGGTGTGTGTGTGGTGTGTGTGTGGTGTGTGTATGTGTGTATTTTAATTAGCTTTAGCATTGGAATTCTTATTCTTCTGATTCATGCAACTTTCAACGTTAACTCATTTTACTATATATGCACTCTTAACTAACATATACACAGTTATTATCCAATAATACATATCTTATAATGAAAAACATGACCACACAATCACATGACTACACGACCACATGATCACATGACTACACCCTTCTTATTGAATGTCCCATGCGAATTAGAATACCTGTGACACGACTCATTCTTTATCAGGCAATTTATAAACGATCTCTGGAAACAATCAATAAACAGCCTATATAACCTAAATAAACTTTTTAAACAATTCAACATTCCACATATCAATCGATGCATAAAGTAATAAAGTTTCTTCCATTTAAACAATCCCCTCCTCCTGATAGCATAGCGGAGTAAGAACATTAGAATTGAATGAAATGCCTCATTAGACGAAAGTTATGCCAACGTCTCACTCGAGACACGAACCATTCATCATCTCATTGTTCATGTTCATTTTGTTCATCTTTTTGTTCATCTTTTTGTTCATCTTTTTGTTCATGTTTTAAGTTCACGTTATTGTTATTCGTATAATATGGTCTAAATGCTTTATGCCTAATTAAGGATTGATGACTTTTTTATTTTCTGTCAAAATGACATTGATTTATTTTGTTATTAACTTAGTCGGTTTCAGTATGATTTTTATTTTGAGAGTGCTTTTGAGAACATTTTTTTAATTAGCGCCATATAAATAAGTTCTTACTACTAATAATAATAATAATAACTGATTGCTTATAATCCAGAACAAATTAATGTGGATCAACAACCAATTTGAATTAAAATTCCACTATAGATTAAATTTCACCCGAGAAATGGAAATATGTTTAATATAAAACATATTGGCAGAAAGAAGATGCGAGAAATGACTGGGAGATGGTTGGATGGCAGGCAGGTTCTACCCCACCATCTACCGTACGGCCACCAACGTACGCACACTCAACAAGCAAACACGGAAATTCAATTATCTATGCAAAACGTTTTAAATTCTTAAATTTCAAACGAAACCAATAGTTTCTGTTATGTTTCATGTTCTATGCAATAACGGTGATGATGATGAAAATAATAGTTATTATTATTATTTATTATTATTATTATTATTTATTTATTATTATTATTGTTTATGTCGACGTTGTTTGACGTTGTGAATTATCTTGTCATTCGCTGAACACGGCATGTTTTAGCGGGAAAGTTCCAATTTAATTGAGTAGAGAATTTGGTGGGTGACTTGTCACGCTTGTTAATTTAAAAAAAAATCATCAAGAAACTGTTCTGCCTGTCCAACATACGCAGCATATCACGTATTCCATATCACATACGTTACATAACTTCAAATAAGTGGCACAACTCACGCATCACACGACAATGATGCAGATCACTCCAAACCTACCTACAAATATTGACGGAAATGAAAATAAAAAGTGGCTTATCACCAAACTTGAACAATTCAACAAACAGCAAGGCGTAACTCACCTAGGGACTTAATAATCAGTTACTCTGTAGTCGAGTGAGCGTGAACATTAATTATTTTTATACGAAACGCTGACAAATTTTCTACCATTTAAACATTTGTTTGCAATTTTTTATTTTTTAAAAATTATTGAAATTATTGATTTAATTCTAAGATTACAAGATTTACTAACAAAAAATTTGAAAGCCTCACAATGATTTTAAAAAATGTTAACATTTTCTGCAACAGAAATCATAAAAATATTCATCTGATAAATTAATATTGTCTCTGTTATCTTTTAATATTTTGGCTCTTTTCTTACGACATTCAAAATAAACAATCATTTGCCGAAATAAACTGCTTCTCTTTCAGAACCTACCATTAAAAAATTCTAATCTGCCAAAATTTGTTGACACTTTTAGACGCGTCTGTATTTTGATAATGCTATTACGTTACTTCCAACAACATTTTGCCAAATTTTGAGTCATGATAACCACATTGGTGCAATAAATTTTTTCAATCAGACATAAACGAATTAGATTTGAAGCGATGTTTTTTATAGTTCCGCAGCCAAAATAAAAATGAATGTTGTGTCTCGTGTGTTTGTGCTAGGCCTCATCAATCATTTCGATGTATTTTATTGGACCGTTATCAGATTTTTATTCAATAAATTTTGCTAACAAACATTTCATACAAATTTGGTCTAGAAATAAATTCAGCAAAACGTCATTTTGTGTTCGTCAATGTTAAATTGAAGTTATAGCATTGAATGGATTGTGGAGATTGAATATGTGAGTGTCCGCAATGCAAATAACACTTGCGCGATTCATGAATCATCGATACTGTCAAGTTATTTGTTCATTCAATCAATCATTGCGATCTGTCATCCACCCACCCATCGATACATCCATCCAGCAAGACAAGCACCCGAGGCCAGCGGTCCAAAGAAGACCTATTTTGGAATTCTTGCATCCGGTATGCGGACAACGTGCCCTGATCAGCGAAACTGGGCCTGGGCAGCCACGCCCATTGTAACACATCTCCTCAATGCCATGACATTTGACACTCCATCTTCCTATTTAATGTGAGCAATAGTTTGAAGATATTTTATGTGGAATTGATCGAGCTTTCGTATGTGGCGTTGATAAGCCGTCTATGTATCACAGCCATATAGCAGAGTAGTCAGTACAACTGCTTTGTAAACTGCAATTTAGGTAGTCAAAAATACTTCATGCTCCCTCCAGAGACGTCTACGCAATCCCCCAAAGGCAGCACCAGCCTTTGCAAGCCTGGCTGTGATATCACTATCGATGGCAGTTGTATTTGAAATGTAGTTGCCAAGATAACAAAAGTTCATGTCGACTTCCTTTGTCCAGCAATGTACGTACATTCCAAGCAGCAAGGTTTAAAATATTTTTTTTAACAATTTTTGAATTTTTATCGCAGAAAAAGATGTCCAGACAACCGCGGCGGGCTGCCAAGATGCGGATGAGTTAGAAATGTTTAGGACAATCTTTTCTAGTCCCATCTTCGACTTTGAAGAAAGCAGTGCGTCCCTAAATAAGACTGTTTTGTCGTCTGGAGCAGGCACCGAACACCACTGTAGCTCTTAGTGAATGAGCGATGTACATCTCACTGACCGTCTACGCGCTGATTTGTGGCTAAACATCTCCAATGGCATCCTCCACCTGAGTCTGTCGCCACTCCTCAATCGCCGCAAGGTTTGATCTTCACAATAACAACTACCAATGCAACCTTCACAACGAATCGTTTAAAGTGGAATATGTTCGTGAGACATGCGACACTCTTCCACAAGGTCGACCTCATCAGGCACAACGGGTTGAAACGCGATGACCAGCAATGACGACGCATCAGTTTGGGCGGAACTGTAGTGCAGTATAACCGCCCCTATAGCACAACTGAGTGTTTCACCTTCTCCTAGATAGATTGCTTACGAAACCGACGGACATCCTCATCCTGGAACCAACAGAACACCAGTTTTTAGGCGCTGGTTATTTGCCTTTTGCCCTCTCCAGTTAGCATTACTTACCCCCTGCCAGGAGTAAGACTTGGTTGATTTGCAGCGTCAGATTGCAAGCCATATGGAAGCACATTTTAGATGCTGGGAATTCATCTCCAGCACCACCTCCGGCTAAAATCAACTCTTTTGAAGAGGCAGTCACACACATATACACAGACATTCGTACACAGACACATAAAAACACACAAAGACGCACACAGACACACATACTGACATACCAAATGTTTTTAATGTAACAAGGCGTATGAATTTGTGGCGAGCAATTTAGACACATGGTACCAAATCTTATTGTACTGTTATTGCTTTGTTATTGCACCCTCGTGTATATATAAATAAACAATAATAAATATAAACATAAATAAATAAAAATATACAAGTAATGTTGTTTTTAAAATTCATGCTGGTTTTAAAATCTGTTATAATAGATGAGTATTTGCAGGACAAATCTCCATATATTTTCATCAGTTTTGCAGTTGTTCATTTGAATGCATTCATTTCATGAAGCGACCACCTGAACAACTGAAACTTAAGTTATTTAAAAACACCCACTCAATAAATTTGTTTTTAAAAAGCATTTTCAAAAAACAAAAATAATTGTGGAAAATTACGTAAATAAAATAATTATGAAAAGAATGTAAATTATATATTTTAGAATTAGTAAAATCATTTCAAATATGTAGGCTGATATTGGGATAACAAGACTTAGGTAATTGCTTGGTACTTAATACATCGTTCCTTGCGTGTGGTTGTCATAAATTTGAATGATTGCCAATCCTTTAAAAATTACTCAATCATAAGTTTGTAACATTTCTTCAACGTTTAAATATTTGTATTGTCTCTTCAGATGGAATGATTGATGTTCACATGTGTCCATGATTGTTGTTTAAGTTTTAGTCTACCCCTTCAAAGGCAATGTTTCAAAATATCAATTATTAATTTCAAATATTTCAGTTCGTCAATTTATTAATAATATTAATATTGAAATGATAATAATTATTATTATTATTCTTATAATATTTACTATTATTATAAATTTGGCATACATTAAAAAATAGATAGAAATAAAAATGCACGTCCATTGTTTGCATTGGAGAATGAGCCAGCAACTGCTTACTTATTGAAATGAACGCATTGCGATGTTTAATGAGAGTGGCTAGGAAGAATCGGTAACGTAACCGCATAATATCAATATATTCAGCGTTACAACACCGTCAGAATATTACAAATTTTGTTCTGAAGTTGGTCGCTGAGAAGTCGTTTTGTTTGTTCTATCGATAGAATCAGTCTCAAGCAAATAAATGGAAAACCCCAAGTAATAAAGAAACATAACGGATGCAATATATTTTATTATCAGGAATTTAGCAAGAATAGAAATAATGAGAAGTTTTGTCTTTTTAATAACTTTTCTGAACAACCCACTGTCGAGCAGGACCGCCTCAATCAATTTGGTTGGCGATATATTAATTAGCGCATAGACAACTCCAGCAATCCAATGGTTCAATGAATCACACAGCACTTATTCAATTATCAGTTGTCATAAAGGTAGGAAGTACTTTGTTAATCTAGCCAAATACCGTTACAACGAGAAAATTTGTTTGCTGTGAAATATGCTGATTGACTGGCCACACCGTCGCTAGGCAACATCAAGTTGTGTGTGGGAGTGGTGGAATTGTTTGTGTGTTTTGTTGCTGTCTTTGATGTTGTTGTTGAGGTTGTTGTTTTTGTTGACGTTGATGTCGTGATGTGAATGTTGTTGTTCTTATTGTAGTTAACGTTTCTGAAAATGTTGATGTTTTGGTTATAGATATTTCAACCAGTTTTACTGCATTGAACACAGCTATCACTATTGAAAGATGTGTTTGTATTGTATAATGTATATGCATATGCAGAATACGTTTGAATTGTGAAATAATGTGACGTCACATGATGTGATGGGTTGTGATGGGGTGAATCGGGCCATGGAAGGCGAGTGTATGACGATTATGAAACTTGGCGATCCATCTTACCATGCAATAAAATAATAAAATAGGTTTACTGGGATATGCAGCTGGAAAGGATTTGTTTTTAAGATTATGTAAACTAGATTGTGTTGTAAACATTTGCAACGTTTTTTCATTGATCTGATCAGATCATGACAGACCTGAGTCATGAGACCAGACCTGAGTCACCATGAGACCGGACCTGAGTCACCATGAGACCAGACCTGAGTCACCATGAGACCGGACCTGAGTCACCATGAGACCGGACCTGAGTCACCATGAGACCAGACCTGAGTCACCGCCTTTTGCAGTTGGCGTTTATTTATCTAATTTATATACGATGCTATCATTTGAAACGATTGCTTATTAAATTAGTTTTACACGGTTTACAACACCTAGCGATGAAAGTTATGCCAGGTGCGTTGAACAAATATTGTTTGCCGAACGTGCAACACTTTTGAACCGGAGTGTATTATTAAACTAAGTGTTTGTTTTATTTAATTATAATGATAATAGAGTGCGAAACCATTGTGTTCGTGTTATTAATGGTAGAGTTTGATTGTTGCAGTTAAACAGCACTTAGTTACTAGCCACTTGAAATACAACAAAATTTCTTTCTAAATTACTTATCAAATAATTGTAGATTAGTGCAAATTTGAAAACTGTTTGTGAAGCTGCAGTAAATCAAACTTTATCTCGATTCATCATTAAAGTGAAGAATTGAAATGCAGTCCAATCAAATTTGTACTTATCGCAATTTTTAAAAAACTTGAAAAAATAACAAAAACACAATCAAGAAGAAAATGCAAAATAATTTATGTAAGGCCAACTAATTTCTTTTTAAACATGCTTTAAAATTTTATTGCAACAATTTTTCTGCGGAGGAATGGACCGTGATAACATTAAACTTGATGAGATCATTAGCGTGGTGGGTACGTTCGTTGCTACAGAAGCAGGTTAAGACACTTTCTCGGAGGCACTCGAGCGTGTCTCCATTCAAAAATGCAGCATCTTTGAATATCACATCTCCACACATCTCCAAACAGAGCGATCATGTGAATCGGCAAAGAAGAAACTCCAACAACTGTGTGAATATTTTTCAATTCCTAAGATTGAATGAAATGAATCTGACATCTATTTGCCCACTCCAAACATCATTCATATTATCATCATCGTCGTCGTCATCATCATCGTCATCATCATCATCAACAACAATGTCATCAATATATATATATATATATATATATATATATATATATATATATATATATATATATATATATATATATATATATACATTAACCGCATCATGCATACAAACTAGAACGGGAATATTTAAAAAGCGACTTACTTTAAATAAAAAGATTATTCCAACTACGTTGATAAAACTACAAAATCATTTAAATTTTTTTTTAAATATCGAAACGAAGTTAAAAAGTTTAAAGTTGCATTTAAAATCATTTTTATTTACAGGTGTTAAATAATGTTAATAAATTGATATAAGCAGACCACAATGCATAACAGTGCCAAAATTGGTTTATTAATTTATTTATTTGCATACATTATAAACTTTCAATTTTTAAACATTTTCCAATCCTTTAAGATAATTTTATATAATTATAACAACGTTTGTATGGTGCTATTGTGAGAGCACAAAAATAAAATGTTTATAATTTAGATTCGATTCAATCCTTTTCAATTCCATTCAACTCTATATTATATTTCATTCTACACTATTCCACTTAACTGAGCGATGCAGGTTGATGAACAACTGCGTGTTTTTAGGGCTTTTGTTCGTACGTGCTGGTCGGGGTCACTCAAGGAATTAGGAATTGCTGTTTTGGTTAATAATATCTGCTATTTGGTGTTGGAGCGGGTGTCAGCTGTGTCAGCTGCTAGTCTGATAAATTAGAATTGGTATACACGTCGATGTTGAATAGAATTCACACATTTTTAAAAATCCTGTAGAGCTGAAATATAAAAATTCCACAAATAATTATAAAAGATAGAATGGTGCTTTTGCAAAAATGGGAAAAATAATTAGCTTCCATTGGGCGCTAGTCCTTAGCTATCTATTGTGCGTCAATTCGTTCTGCTGATTTGATGAAAGTTGATTGAGGCATGTCTGCCAGAATGGATGGACATAATTTGCAATTATTATATTTTTCATCCTAATGCATCGCACATGTCGCGTGCTATGTAATTCACCAAATTCCCGTCACATTAACCAATCAAGCGTTACTTTACAGCGTTTTTTGACAGCAGTTCTTACCTGCACGCATATTTTGATGCAAATATTTAGACACATCCTGTTACACAAAAATATTTAAAACAAAACAACATTTATTTACAAATTTACATGTTAATAACATTGCAAAATTTTTATCATCGCATGAAGCACCACTTGACAACAATCTGCGCCTAGCAAGGCAACTGTACAATGGTGCTTATGCTTACATTCCACATTATAACCTTTCCAAACATCATAGAGACCTACACACGCTGCGTTATAAAAAAAAATCTCTTCTCACCAATTCATAATGCAATACAATTCTCAGACACATCATAATGGCTTATTTTTTGAATATAAGCCATAAATATCACAATACATTGACGCATCACAATACATACATAACAATACATCATCACATCACGATGTATCACAAAATATCACATCACAACTCATCCCATCAAATCACAATACATCACTACACAACAATAAACTACTCTACATCAAATAACTTCTCCGCTCGGACAAAGGATTACGAAAGGATAATTAAGATTAAAATTTGTTTCGTAAAATTTTAAGGCCAATTATTATTTTTAGTGCTCTTTAAAACTGTCATGTATGGCATCAGCAAGATATTTTTTTGTGAAAAGACGATCTACTAACTTCTTGATTGGCAGCAGGATGGTTTGATTTTATGCAGATGATAGTGATGGTGGTGAATGCTGGTGAAGAAAAGAGAAGGAATGCCTCCCCACCCTAGACCTCACCTCAAACCTTCTGTGGAGACCACTGAAACATCAGCCTGCATCTGGATGACAACCTTTTTGAAACGGCATGCAGTTGTCGTTGGGTTTAATAATTGAGCATCGAGTATTGAGTGTTGACAATCATAACGAAATTGCACAATATTACAAAATATTTCTTTTAATGGGTCGATTGAATGCAGTTGAG